TATATATATATATATATATTAGTGCAATTGTTTTGTGCAAGAGAATGTATATTTAAAAAAAGAGTTTAGTTTAGTCAACATTGAAATTTTGCAATAAAGTGATTCCCAGAGATGTTACAGTTACAGATGAAGCCTTTAAACTGCTTACCATCAAGTTTGTCAACAAAGCAGTATACATCGTAGGTCTCTGTGGGTTGCCTTCTGCCATATGACCTAACACCAGTCTTGTTCCTCAGATCTCCTAAGCAGGGCTTTCTTGTCCTCGTCATTGGGTACCTGTACAAATGAAGAAAACAAAAAGTCACGATAATGCAAAGAATATATTAACTTATTTTAAAAAAACTACATTGTTTATTGCCTGAGAAGACCAATGCATAAAGTATTCAAAATGAAGAGGCATGCGTGTCCATTTTTTATTATTATTATTATTTTTAGAATCTTATGCAATAAATAAATAAACAGCCATGTTGAGTGCTAAAGCTAACCTCACAGTTTGGTCAGACATCCATCCAGCATCACACTGTTCATATCCATCATCATAGGCTGCTTTTAGTTGGGCAGGGGTTGCAATAGTTGCTCCAATATTTAAGCAAGTTTCAGTAGCCTTTTGGAAAGTCAAAGTGTACCTGCCAGAGTTTGGTCGATAGTGAAAAACAACACCTGGCAACACACACAAAAAAAAAAAAAAACAACAAAAACAATCAGTTAAAGATGAGACATGATAAAAAGTAAATAAAGCTGAAGATAGTCATCTGGAATTAATTAGCATAATGTCAGAGTGGGGAACTATGACAAGTGTCTTGTAAAGCACACTCTGTGARTAAAATAAATGAGTCTCTCGGCTACTTTGGAAAGGAGGAGCTTTGCAATAAACCAAGAGGATATGCGAAATACTCTACAGCTCACCGCAAATGAACAAGATAAGTGCACATGATGCCACGGCCCTGAAATCCCCATATTTGTGGACGGTAAACAGACGCAAATGGTTTGATTGATAGTCTCAATTAACATTGCAAATAGCTGGAAAGAAGGATGTGCAGATTGTAAACCAAAAGTATCCCAGCCCCCGGCAACCTCTCACCCACCCACAAGAGCTGTCTCTGTCTCTCACAATACTTCTTGATGGAAATATTTAATGTAAACAATGAAACAAGGTAAGGATTGGTAACCCCTCCCCCACACTGACACTGTAATGGTCATATTATTCAAGAGTATAATTCATTTTGTCAACTGTTCAGAGGCAGGCGTGAAAAATACTTTATCATTTTCCTTTGAGATCAACTAAAGGGAATTCTTTAGTGACAAGATGGTGTCCAWAAAGACATGAATGACTGAAGTCACATGCAGCAGCTCATTGGGACAAGGACCCAAAAGTTTGATCCAATTTTTAAAGACAGCATCACCTCTTGAATAAAAATTCTACCAAAAGATGTGGTTAATATTGGTAACTTCTGAGTWACTGCATCTATCAAAGTAAGCAAAYAGGCTCCCAAAGTTCTCTTTGTGAGGTTTATTTTTCTATCAGCACATATAAGACATTAGATTATCATGCCCCTRTAGCACTTGCCTTTTCCAGTTTTCATTTTTTTACTGTTATTTCGAAATGAAAAGTGAAGGAGCTTACCATCAACATCAAGGTTAACCATACTACGGGTGTCTCCGATGCCATATATGACGTCACAACGGTAAGTACCAGCATCACTGGCACGCAGCTTGACTACTGTCAGTGAGGCGTCACCGACATCTTCGGGGTGACTGGGTATTGATATACGCTTCCTGTATCTGCGATCGAGATTTATGACCCCATTTTGTGCCGTCAGCACTATGGATTCATTTGTGCCAACTATTTTGGTCCATTTAATCAATAAATAATCTTTGCTATACGTGACTGCGTCATAGGGTCCATAGGGACTCCTGACTGGCGTTGAGGTTGGGATTGAGAAAAAGCAGGGAAGGACCACCTTCCCAGAGAGAGAGCCAGTGACTGGTGTGATTGTTGATGACTTGAATGCTGAAAAGGAAAAGAAAAAGAGAAGAGCGTTAAATGCAGCTACGGGTATTCTTAATTACATTGTAACACTGCCTTCCTCTTTCATTTATCCTTTCATCCAAAAACATGCATTTTTCAGACTACGCTTACCCCAACACATGTAAGCAGACAATATAAACTGCCTGACTCATTAGCGTTGATAGGGTGGGACAACTACACCCAGCCTAATAAAAAACATGCATCATGTTTTGAAAGGAGCTTTTGGAAAGTTGAGCCTCATCCTCAAAATGATGGGTGTGGGAACACATTTACTACAGAGAGCACTGGATGTACAGCATGTTTGTAAAAAGTTGGAATAAAAAGGGGACCTGGTTGCATCACTGCATGCCATGTCTCTGCTTATGTTGATGTTCCCTCTCAAATAGTCCCTATTTATCTGCAGCAAGGTTATGTGAACATGCAAAACGATCTGCAAACAAAATTAACTTTAAACATGTAATGTTGTGGACTGAAATTGTAGCATAAGCTTAAAAAACATTCATCAAGAGCAAATAGTTTTGTATTTTGTTGGTGTTTTTCATCTTGGGAGGTTTTTTTTAAGAGGTAGCCTGAGGCAAGGTATGGAGTTGGGGGCATTTGCATGGAACAATGTAGGGAATGCTTAGGAAACAGCGGTGGGACAGCCCCAAAGGCATAGGTGTTTTAACAGGGGGCTTCATTAGCATGTGCAATATAAACAGCAGCTGAACCTCKTAACTGGGTACTGAGTCTAACTGAAAGGTATACATCCATATTTAGAGACAGAGCCAGAGACAAAGGGAGAGCAATGGCATAGGTGCTGATGGACCTCCAGGTGTATACTCCTCGTGTCGCTTTCACTTTTACGCCAAGAAAATACTAACTTTGCAATCCAGCTAAATGTGACTACCTCCACAAAGAGGCAAAGGATTGAACTAAAGAGAGATGGTGGTAAGGAACAAGACAGGAGAGAGAGAGAGAGAGAGAGAGAGAGAGAGAGAGAGAGAGAGAGAGAGAGAGAGA